GAGTCTCACTCTGTCACCCAGGCTGGAGTGCAGTGGCACGCTCCCAGCCACTGCAGCCTCGAACTGCTGGGCTCAGGCAGTCCTTCCGCCTCAGCCTTGCAAGTAGCCGGAACTACAGGCGTGCACTACCATGCCTGGCTGATTTTTTTGACTTATTGTAGAGACAAGGTCTTGCCAAGTTGCCCAGGCTGTTCTCATGCAATCCACTCGCCTTGGCCTCTCAAAGTGCTGGGATTACAAGCTTGAACTGCTGCGCCCAGCCTCTCTTTTTCTTTGAAGGGTCTGTCGCCTCCTTCTTTCTACTTTGTTCTGTCCTTCTTAGGAGCCCAGGTTTTAGGAAATAAAGGGAATTGCTTTGGGACAAAGCGCATTTTGGCTAATACTTATGTTTGAAATTTCATGTTATGTTTAATGTCTCGCTGGGCATAAGTGTGCTCTCTCGATGCTCTAGTAATGAACTGTTTCACTATTTTACAGAGTGCCTGTGATTTCACGTATTTTTGCCGAATTTGTAAAAGAGACACTTGGATGGTGGATTAACGAGAACACTAACATTCTGTGACAAGTTTCAAATTGGAGAATATTGAATTTTCACCCTAGTCCAGCAGCTCTGCTGCTCACATAAATACAGATGAATGAAGACCCCATTTGGAAAGACACCTGGCCAGCGGTCCAGAGCTGATGCAGGTAGGCAACACGCTTCTGTGCATATTTCATAGAATGCATTTGAAACAAGTGTGAAGTGGAGGCGTGCTTTCCACATTGTACCTAGTGGTTTGCTACTTTCGAAGCTTGGCGGTTTCTCGTGTTTTGTACATGTACACGTAGGAAGGAGCAGATTTGCTTTTCTTAAAAGGGGAGGTTACATCAAAGTTTTTTTCTTGTATGATCTTCTGGCAAGTTGTACGTATCCAGTGAACTCAGCAAGTGAATTGTAAATATCTGTTTAATAGGATTATAGTAAAGAAGTGAGTTCTTTTTGGAAGAAAAACTTAAAGTGAGGTGTCAGATGAATTGGGTTTAGTGAGATTTAGTATATTGAGAGCAGCTTTAGGAAAAAAGATAAACTCAGAATTTCTTGTATGTTTATTTGAAGGAACTTTATTGGCATGGACATTATAATTAAAATTACAGTAATTCTCTTACTTTTGTGGCACATAGCTAATACAACTTACATAGAAGTTTAGACTTTTTACCCCTTTAAAAAACAAAGATAAACACAAAATTTTTTTTTGAGTCAGAGTCTCACTCCATCGCCAAGGCTAGAGTGCAGTGACATGCTCACAGCCACCCCAATGTCAACCTGCTGGGCTCCGGCGATCCTTCACCTCAACCTTCCAAATAGCTGGAACTATAGGCTCATACTACCATGCCCGGCTAATTTTTGATATTGTAGAGGTGAGGTCTTGCCAAGTTGCCCAGACTGGTCTCAAACCCACGGGCTCAGGCAGTCCACTTACCTCGGCCTCCCAAAGTGCTGGGATTATAGGCTGAGCCACTGAGCCCGACTGATAAACAAAATCTTATAAGATATACTATAAAATAGGTAAGTGATTTTTTTTTTGGGAGGATTTAACATTCTTCTACATTTCAGGCATACATTTGAACATTGGAAGAGTCTATCATGACATTTTAAGGTTCTTTGATAAATGAATCTAAGGATTAACGCTAGCAAAATTAGTACTATAAAATTGGTTATTATGCGATTTTTGATATTTGTTTACTAAAGTATTTGGAGTTCTTTGTAGGGGAACCACAAGGATTAAGAGTTATAAGCACCCCGTATCTTTTTTTTTTTTAAGTTGGAGTCTCACTCTGTCGCCCAGACTGGAGTGCAGTGGCCGCTCCGGCTACCGCAGCTTTGACCTGCTGGGCTCCGGCGATCCTTCCGCCTCAGCCTTCCCAGTAGCCGGAATTACAGGCATGCGCTACCATGCCCGGCTGATTTTTTGATTTATTGTAGAGATGAGGTCTCGCTGCCCAGGCGGGTCTCGAACCCGCAGGCTCAGGCAATCTACTCACCTCAGCCTCCCAAAGGCGCGGGATTACAGGCTGAGCCACTGAGCCCGGCTAGCACCTCATATCTTTATTTTAACTTCTTTTATAAAGATAATATTGATATAATTGTTCACTATTTATCAATGATTCATTTGCGTTAGTGGTGACTGAGTGTAGTCATCTGAGAGCTGCTCATTCAGAATCTCAGCCCTCTATTAGCTATGCAGACGATGGTTCCCTCCCCTCCCCACCCTACTGCCCTTCCCTTTTTCTCTCTGTGTCTCCCACCCCCCATCGGGTCTCATTCTGTCACCTAGGCTGGAGTGCAGTGCAGCCTCCCCAGACTGTGCTCAGGTGATCCTCCCACCTCATCCTCCTGAGTAGCTGGGACTATAGGTGTATGCCATCAAGCCTCGCTAATTTTTTTATTTTTTGGAGAGACGAAGTCTTGCTATGTTGCCTAGGCTGGCCTCAAACTCTTGGGCTCAAGCGATTCTCCTGCCTTAGCCTCTTCAAGTACTGGAGTTACGGGCATGAGCCACTATGCCTGGTCAAAGCTGGTTGTTTTTTAGTCTTCTTGAATCTATTTTCTCATCTGTATACATGGGGACTGTTAATATACCTATTGGGGTTAAAGACTAGATGATATATGTGTCAAGTTGTTTAACTAGGTGCCTGACAGTTGCAATATTGTTGATCATACTGTTTACAATAAAATATTTTTATTTCTTCTCATTATTTGGAAAAATTGCCATCAGGAGTTATTGACCAGAGAAACCTCTTAGGTCTTTGTCACTTGAAATTGTAATTCACTTCCCATTTCATTTATGTATACTATTCCAAACTCAACGTCTCTATCCCCTTTATTGATGAAGAAGTCCTCCCCTTGTTAGGAGAAAAGCTGCCTGATTAGCAGTGATGTCAAGTGTGGTGTAAGTAACTGAAGGAACTAAACCAGAGAGACTATGTTTTTAAGGGAGAGATGATTAATTCTGTAGGTGCTTTGGTCTTACGTTTTCTCCTTTGATGTTTCCCACAGCATATGACATAGGGCTAAAGGCAAAGTAGGTTGTGGGTCGAGTCTAGTTGGCCTCTTGTTCGATGTTATCGCATAAGAGACTGTGGGGCTGTTTCTTCCTTATCAGTGCTGTGTGGCTCAGTATTCTCTTACCTAGTCAGTACAGCACCTCTGGCCACCAGGATGCAGGAGAGGAAGGGAACGCTTCCTACACACAGCAAGCAGTTTCGAAAGCAGACACCTTCCCAGTCCCCTGGGACTCATTCGACATACCTGCAGTTTCTATTTTGAACATTAACTTCGGTTTCCTACCTGTATCACTGTGTTGGAATTTAGTCGGTTACTAACGTCATAATTTGTGCATGCCTAAGGACATTGGGCGGCAGCAAGTAGTAATACAGTGTTAGTTCTGTTTCACGTGTTTTTCCCTAGGTGTTAGCCTCCCCCCCTTTTTTTTTTACTAGTTTTCCAAAGATTGCAATATGTTCCATTTATGACATTATTATTGTTATTATTTTTTTTGGTTGGAGTCTCACTCTGTCACCCAAACTGGAGTGCAGTGGCATGCTCACGGCCACCGCAGCCTCAACCTACTGGGCTAGGGTGATCCTTCTGCTTCAGTCTTCCAAGTAGCTGGGACTACAGGAACACACCACTGCAACCAGCCAATTTTTAAATTTATTGCAGAGATGAGATCTCGCCAAGTTGCCCAATTTGTTCTGGAACCGTGGGCTCAGGCAGTCCTCTCACCTCGGCCTCCCAAAGTGCTAGGAGTACAGACTTGAGCCACTGTACCCGGCCTTATGCCGTTCTTTAGTCATATTTATGGTTCAGAGAATAACAGTAACATAGCAGTTATTCATGTACCCTGTACTCAAGTTTAACAAATATTTTTGTCCTTGTTACCTTTTTTTAGGAAACTTATTTTTAGTTATCACATTAATAAAAAATCGTCATATTTGAAGATGTCAAGTAGTGCTAAAAGCCTTATTAACACAAACCGTAGGTACTCCAGATGTAATACTTTTAACTCATTTTGATTTTTACCTTTTTAATTTTGTAAATAATAAAGAGTATATGGATTCCTCTTGATCCATTAATCCTAGATACTGTGTGTGTTGACTTTCTCTTGAGGATTTTGGCAGTTTTTATGGAACTAGTCTTCTAAAGAATGTTTTTGGCTAAAATTGTATGTGTTGTTTCTTTTGTAATTAACATAAATATTGAACTCTATTGAGCCAAGTAATACAGCACACTCTTCTGGTAGGTCATCTTGCTTTCCTTGGAGTTTAATGGTTGCTTTTCTTTTCTGTTTGCTTGAATTCCTTAGAGATTTGGCCTCATAAACTCTCCAACAGCTTTGTAAACCCCTTAGTATACTTCCTGCACAGTCAAGTGTGGTAGGTAATCCATCTGTAGCACCTTTTGTTTTTTTATAGCTTGTGTTGATTGCTTTTAGATCTGTTCAGTATTGCCACCCTAGGAATTCCTTTTTTCTCATTTTTATGTTGGATTCTCTGTGTTTCGTGGATACTCTGTCCTCTCTTTTTTTTGCTGCGTACTCTTGTCTAGGGGAAGCATGCACATCTTCAAGAATGTTCAAGAATAGGCAGTGAGTGGGTTGATTGAGCTGCAGGTGGCGTGTATTCACTCATATTTTCTACTTTTGTGCATGTTTGAGATTGTAATAACTTTTCAAAAATGTACATAGAGGATGGTTTTTTGAGACCTTGCATTGGCATTGTCTTTATTCTGTCCTCATGCTCAGTCAGTTCTTTGGCTGGTTAAGTTTCTTGACAGGAGTGTTTTTCAGTTAAAAAAGAATTTTTTTTGAGTCGGAATCTCACTTTGTGGCCCAGCCTGGAGTGCAGTGGCACGATCACAGCTCACCGCAGCCTCAACTTGGGCTTAGGTGATCCTCCCACCTCAGCCTTCCCAGTAACTGGGACTCCAGGCATGCACTACCACCCTTGGCTAATGTTTCGACTTTTTTGTGGAGACGAGGTCCCGCTATGTTGCCCAGGCTGGTTTTGAACTGCTGAGCTCAAGTAGTCCTCCCACCTTGGCCCCCCAAAGTGCTGGGATTACAGGCAATGAGCCATTTTGCCCAGCCAATTTTTTTTTCTTATCCTTTGTGTGTGTCCAGTGATTTATTCCTCTTTTTGGAAGCGTTTAGAATTGTCTTTATGTATCTAAAACTTTATGACAGTATATATTAGTGTGTATCTTTTTCAGTAATTATACTAGACTTTCAATCTTTAGATCTATTCTTTAACAATGTGGAATTTTGTGCGCCGCCTCCTCCTCCCCACCCAGTTTATTTTGTCTTCTCATTCTTTCTGGGGGAATTTATTGAATTTCTTTTTCATCCTTTTTAAAATTTCAATCAGCAACTTAAAATGCAAGAAGCATCCCCCCACCCACCCACCTTTTTTTTCTTTAAAGAGATGGGGTCCATGTTGTTCAGGCTGGTCTTGGAGCTTCTGGGCTCCAGTGATGCTCCTGCCTCAGCCTCTTGAGCCACTGGGGCTACAGGAGTGTGTCATTTTGGCTGGCTTCTGTAAGTTCTCATACTTGGGAACTGCTTTTATCTATGAAATAAACATCTCAGGAGATGTACATTACTCTTTTAGAAAGCTATTTTGGTATTAGCTAGGCTGCTTATGAGTTT